CATTGGATACATCTTTCATCTCCTTGGGGAAATCAATTCCTAAGTATTTTATTCTTTTTAATGCTATTGTAAAAAAGGATAAATTTTATATACTGTGTATATTTACCATCATTTTTTTTTAATTTTTTTTTTATAACAAACAAATTTTATTTTCACCATAGGGATAACATATTGTACCTCTCTGCCAATGTTACTTGAAAACCGTCCATGTCAAAACAATTTGACAGCAGATATAAACAATTCAATAAATATGCAATGATCTTTCATTACAGTCCTTTAAAGACGCATGTTAATTCATGCTGTTAACCTTAGGTTCACAGTGCATAGAATCCAAATATGAGCAGTTGGGGTGACTTTCAGAGTAATGTTGAACCCCTCATTTTATTTATAATCCCACTCTAACCGTTAAGTTCATGTCATAGGCCCTATCATGCATTAATCATTGAGTGGCAGAAGTTAATGAAATTTTTTCATGTTACAACGTCCATTGCCGGCAATGAACGTCCCAACGCCAAGGAAGTCATTGTTATTGCACAATACATGAGGACCTGGAACATTTCAAAAGCTTAAAAAAATAAAAATAAAAAATGGAATTATATTTGACATTTCCTGACACCTGCATTAATACTGTATGACTAATCAAAACATGTCAGTTGCCTGGACTCAACCAGCGATCAACATGCGCCCCAAATGCACACGAGTAAAAATGCAGTCAAAGGAAGCAGTCTTCATTGCCTATAGGTCACTTCCAGTCAAAGGTTAAAGTTCAAAGACTGAATGATCAAAGTGCTCATTTTCTCAGTAGGACTATCTTCTGCTAGGAGGATGAGAACAGTGGCATCAACAAGTATCATCATGATACCACCATTTTTTTTTCTTTGGATTCTTGTTACATGTTCGAACATAAAAAGAATTATCTGGTGGTTGTCTCTGAGGAGAGTCAAAAGGATATCGACTACTAAATTTAAATAGAAGTTGAAATTTTTCCCCTTCATATAAGGTACCCGGTGCACCTTCCATGTCTACAATCCACTGTGTAATTGAATTTTGAACACTCTTTTCATTTAAAGTCATTCCAGGAGGCGGGTCATTTTGCAAAGCCAACAGTTCTTTCTGTAGTCGTTTCTGCATTGACGCCATGATGGAACCATCCCTCGCTTTACCATCATTTAAAAACAAAAACACCTCACAGACCAGTGAGGGAGACAGATAACATAGGAATTGAAGTGGTAGGATAGGTGTACAAGGGGTGGGGCAGGGCTGGGCAGGGATATCATGGTACAGATGCACAGGTCGTGCACTGCACAACTCTAGGGGTAGCCACTCGTATATACAGTGATGCTGTATCAGACAGCTGAGGCTTCATTATTCTGCATAACCAGCGATTCTGTGTATTTCATTGTCTAAAAATGTGTCCAGGGTCAAATTCACCATCAATGGGGTAGGAAGTGGAACAGCCCCCAGAGAGGGCAGCCTCTGAACCCTGCACTAAGACAGGTCCCCCTGGAGGGCACCCCCTAAGGCCTCAGCAAGAAGCTGAAAGAGGAAAGGGAACTTCCATCACGAAAAAAATCTGAATGGCCATTGGCCCAGCATAGCTGTGAGGGGCTGTATGGCCCCCGGGGGCTCTGTGTGCAGCAGGCAGCCCCAGCCAGGGTGGCTCACATGCCTCTCGGGAGGAGCACCCCATGGAGAGCTCTCCAGGGCTGAAGTTTGGTGCCTCTAACCAGAAAAGGGTCCTGGGAAGCCACAATCTCTAAGTCATCAGAGACTAGTCTTTCCAGTGTGAATCCTTGCAACTCCCTCCTTGAAACACTTTCTGTTCTCTACTCAAATATTGACCATTCATGATAAAAGGGCCTTGAACTTGATTGCATCCAACAAACACAACATCCACCTCTTGCCGGGGTATGCTAATTTTGAGTTGGTGTCATCACTGACCATCCACCAGGAACGTGGATGGGCTCTTCACTCTGCAGGAAGGCTGGGCACCCACGTAGCTCCTGAGTCACTCGGTGTCCTCCACCTGTCTCAGCATCAGGACACCAGGGATCCTGGGGAAGAAGAGCCTCTCAAAGATTCAGCTCACAGATTTACCCAGGACATGTGTTTCTCTGAGGCAGCCCTTCCAGAAGCTTCCATTAAGCTAATTGGCATTAAGACATCAGTTTTTGAGGTTTTCCTGCCTTCCCTAAGTGGCCCATCTGAATGCTTTTCTCTCATCTGTGGTCCTTCCGTGGTGTGGATATATATATACATATATATATATATATATGTATGTATATATATATTTTTTTAATTAGCCTTTATGTCTTTTTAAATATTTATTTGACTGCATCAGGTCTCAGCTGTGGTTTGCAGGTTCAGTAGCTTCGTGGCATATGGGACCTTAGTTCCCAGACCAGGGATCAAACCCACATCCCCTGTATTGGCCTGTAGATCTGTGGTCTGCAGATTTATCCCGTTTTCCACTTCAAAGATGCTGCGTCCTTAGTGCCTGCTGGCTTTGTTAATGTTCTCCCTTGAAGAGCTCCTTTTTTTTTTTTTGTAGAAGTGGGCAGAACTGGGACTTCCCTGGCAATCCAGTGGTTAAGAATCTGCCTCCCAGTGCGGGGACGCGGGTTCAATCCCTGGCCAAGGAACAAGAAGCCCACATGTCAAGGGGTAACTAATATCATGCACCGCAACTAGAGAAGCCCATGTGACACAACTAAAACCTGATGCAGCCAAAAAAAGAGACAGAAGTGAGCAGAGCTGTCCACCTTTGCTTTCGTTTGAGCAAATTGTGTCGAAAGTCATAGTGGCTAGTCAATCTTTTCCTCCAGCTTCCTCTCCCGTGCAAAGCGTAGCATTTTGCTGTACTCCATAGGCAGAGCTGACAAAGGTGAGATTTTCCAGAGGCTGGAGGAGGGCCTCCCTCTGGCATGAAGTCTCCTTTCACAGATGGCACCGTGCTGAGCTCTCCAACAGGTCCGGCCAGACAACAGCGCCGGAGGCCAGGCTTCCCCGCCATGCTCCTTCCTCCAGTGGGTACAGTGATTGTTTGACATCCGGTAACTGTCCCCAGAATGCCACAAAGGCCAGTGTCTTCTGTGCTGCAGAAATCTTGCTATACCCTTCAAGAGCAGAAGAAAAGGCTGACATGTGCCCCTTCCACATATGGGGATGGTGGCTGGCCTTCACGTGGAGCAGGCACTCTCCTCCAGTTTGCAGAGGGGACGATGACCCGGAGTAGAGGGCCATGATCACTGGGCCCAATGCAAGGGTTTATGGAGCTAGGATTGTGGTCACCCAGGCAGCCACCTTTCTCCTCCATTCCTAAAGGTGTTCTCTCCCCGCTGCCCTCACCCGAGTCCGGTCTATCCTGTTCCCTGAATCCAATCAGGCTTCAAATCAGATTTTCTTGTTCTGACAGTGGAATGCTGCCCAGGGCAAAAAAAGTAATTTCTGACCCATCACTCTGTTCCATGAGTGGTCACAGGGCTGCTGTGAGCAAGTGGACAGGAGCAAAGCACTGGAGGTCTGGGCTTGGCAGGGTCCCCATTTTGTTCCCAAAGAGACTCCCCATCTTCTTCAGTCATTTGTTCTTAGGGCCCCTTGCTCCTGACCCAGTCTAACAAGGCCTCCCTCCCTCCTTCCCTGGACCTGGAAGCCCCTCCCCAACTACTAGGTTAAGCTAGAAGTACTACCAGCCGCCACAGGTGAAACTTGGTTCCCAACAGCCAAGGAATGAAATCTCCAGATCTGTAAATCATGGTCTTCCAAATCCTTAAAGCCTTTTCAATATAATGATGAGTTTAGGTCTGACCCAACCTACCAAGCTTGAAAATCTGAAATAGCTGTGAAGACTCCGCCTGCCCCTAGGGAAAGCCTTGGGGCATTAAGTCAAGGAGTCTAGAGCCTGTGAGTCAAGTTCACCCCACCAGGTGACCCTTAGCAGCAGATTGAAGATTCCACAGCTCTGCAATCATGCTCTAATCAACCCCATGGTTGCTTCACTGACCAGAGTGCACCACCACCGCACCACCTGTGTGCTGAGAAAGCCATGCCCTTCATGCCTCTATGGCAGCACTTCATACCCAAAACATCAAGATGCCCTCCTCCCAGCCCCCTTGGGAGATAGTCCCACCTAAGCTCTAGATGCTCACTAGGACCCCTGTTCACCTCTCATTTGGGAGAAACCAGTTTTTGTTGCCCAATTTGAGCTTAAGGTGGTCATACCCCACACAACCCCCCATTTCCCACTCATCAAACAGAAGGCACCGATCGGTTTACTGCAGCACTTTTTATTTCCTCACAATGACGCATTGCTGGGGCCTAATGTTCTCACATGACAGTAGAAAATCAAAATCTGTTGTCATCTCTTAAAAGAATTGAGAATTGCGTACAAAAACCTTACATAAATTAAAAGAATGAATAAATTTACAGGTGTGAATGCAAACTGTTTCCAACTCAAGGCAAGTAACAGCCCACGGTGTTCTGGTGGGAAATCTTCAGTAAGAAAGGAAAGCAGGTCCTAAGGCTTGGACCTTCCCAACCCCATTTAAGACCGGCCAAGACAGAAATGACAACTGTTTCAGGACTCTTGCCAGCCTCTAGAGAAATCCTGGAATAGGCAGCTCTGACACATTAATACCCTGCACAGAGAGAGACTCGCAGTCTCCCAGATTCTTATCAAGCCATTGGATTTCTCTTCCATAAACATTCTCACCTCAGCTACAGAGGTGAGAGAGCCGCATGTAACTAGGGGTTAAAATCAAAGATATGCACAGGGTATTAAACATATACCAAGGTAGAGTTAACTTGAATACAAGGTCAAAATCAGCAACAAGTTCTACAATCCAGTGCTGATATCAGATACAAGCTTCAAGGACAAATTTCTTTTCAAAGGCTTATTCCAGTTTCATGAGGCTAGCATGAGGTGTATACATTTGCCAGGGCAAATTTATACTTGTGAATTAACTCATGCAGCAAATGCTACGCATCTGCTCGCAGTCCGTTTAGAAGCATTTGCGGTGGACAATGGAGGGGCCAGACTCGTCGTACTCCTGCTTGCTGATCCACATCTGCTGGAAGGTGGACAGGGAGGCCAGGATGGAGCCTCCGATCCACACCGAGTACTTGCGCTCAGGAGGAGCAATGATCTGAAATGACAACAATGGGGTTTGAGTTGGTGGCACCATCTTACCTGCAAGGCCCCTGGGCCCAAGGCCACAGTCGCCTCTGCCTCACCTTGATTTTCATCGTGCTCGGAGCCAGCGCAGTGATCTCTTTCTGCATCCTGTCGGCGATGCCAGGGTACATGGTGGTCCCACCAGACAGCACCGTGTTGGCATACAGGTCCTTTCGGATGTCCACGTCACACTTCATGATGGAGTTGAAGGTGGTCTCGTGGATGCCACAGGACTCCATACCTAAGAGACAAAGCTCACCCTCAGAGATCGCGCGATCAAGGTGCAAGGCACCTTGACCCTCAACAGCATCAAAGGGAGGTCAGTCATGCTGCCCACCGGACACCTACCCAGGAAGGAGGGCTGGAAGAGCGCCTCGGGACACCGGAACCGCTCGTTGCCAATAGTGATCACCTGACCATCAGGCAGCTCATAGCTCTTCTCCAAGGAGGAGGAGGATGCAGCAGTAGCCATCTCCTGCTCGAAGTCCAGGGCGACGTAGCAGAGCTTCTCCTTGATGTCACGCACAATTTCCCGCTCGGCTGTGGTGGTAAAGCTGTAACCACGTTCCGTGAGGATCTTCATGAGGTAGTCTGTCAGGTCCCGGCCAGCCAGGTCCAGACGCAGGATGGCGTGGGGGAGGGCGTACCCCTCATAGATGGGCACCGTATGGGTGACCCCATCCCCAGAGTCCATGACAATACCAGTAGTGCGGCCAGAGGCGTACAGAGACAGCACAGCCTGGATGGCCACATACATGGCAGGAGTGTTGAAAGTCTCGAACATGATCTGCAGGAGACAAAAGGCTCCATTAGTCAAAGGAAGGGACTCAGGGTCACCCCATGCTCTCACACCATGCCAGCATGCCACAAATGTGATGTGTGGAGAAAAGAAAAGGAAGCAAGCAGAAACACAAATAAGAAACCTTGAGACTTCAGGAAGGAAATGCCAGGAGAAGTACAGAACCCTGGAAATATTGAAAGAAATACTTGAATTTCAGAAAACAAAACTAAACATGAAATGACTTGTGAAATACATGAAATGTCTCAACCACCCGGCTGTGCTTACCTGGGTCATCTTCTCACGGTTGGCCTTGGGGTTCAGAGGGGCCTCCGTCAGCAGCACGGGGTGCTCCTCGGGGGCCACACGCAGCTCGTTGTAGAAGGTGTGGTGCCAGATCTTCTCCATGTCGTCCCAGTTGGTGACGATGCCGTGCTCGATGGGGTACTTAAGGGTCAGGATGCCACGCTTGCTCTGGGCCTCGTCGCCCACGTAGCTGTCCTTCTGCCCCATGCCCACCATGACGCCCTGGTGTCGGGGGCGCCCAACGATGGACGGGAACACGGCCCGGGGGGCGTCATCCCCAGCAAAGCCAGCTTTGCACATGCCAGAACCATTGTCGATGACGAGGGCGGCAATTTCTTCTTCCATGGCGATCTATTCAAAGATGGGACCCACTCAGGCGCGCCCTGACGCTCAGAGAACGGCCCCGGCAAAGGCCCTCCCCGCGAGGCGTTCGACCTCCCCCCGACCTGGCTGCAGAGTAACCGCCTGGAACCGGGGCGGGCTTTTACGTAACGCCCCCTCCCCCGTCGTTCCGCGGAAAGGAAACCGGGGGCTCTCAATACTGCCGCCCGGACTCGCCCTGCCCCCTCCCCCAGCAGCACACCCGCTGCGCCCTCCTCGAACCAGCTGGGGCGCAGCCCACTTACCCCACCCCACCCGACCCGACCACCCTTTGTTCCCGGGGTCGGGGTGGTCGGGCCTCTGGGGCCGGGAGTAGAAAAAGGAACTGCGAAGGGGGTGCGGGGACCCGGATACCCTGGCAGGCCGCCTAGGCCTAAGTCGCTTACCGACGGAGACGGGCCGCGGGGTGCGGAAGAGCGAGCAGAGAAGCGCGGGAAGACACGGAACGCTGGCCGGCTGCGGCGAGTGAGACCGTCCGCGGCCTCCCCCGCCGGTATTTAAGCGAAGCGGGGCGCGCGCGCGGGCCGGCGGCGCGCGCGGCCCCAGAACATGTCCATATATGGCGATCTTTCCGAACGCCGGGCGCCCATTGGCCCGCCCGAGAGGGGCACGTGGGGCCCCGCGCCCGGTCCCGCCCCCCGCCCGCACCGCCCCCAACCGCCCCGCCCGCGCTGCCCCCGGGCGCCGGAGACCCCCAGAATGAGACCCCGCGCTGACCGGCGCGCGGGCGGGACGGGTGGGCGCCCCCGGGGGGACTTCAGGAGTGGTCGCAGAGGAGGCCAGGGAGCTGACCTGGGCGCCCCGCCCCGGGACTGTCGCGCGCCGTGGGGAAGGGCCCGGCTGCACCCCGAAACTGCCTGGCCCGGGGCTGGGCGGCACCCGGAGCAGGGTGTGTACCCGCGGCCAGTCCGTGCCGGTGGGCTTTCCTCCCCGCGCCCCCGTTAATCTTCTCCTCTTGGTCTCTGCAAGCCATCAAGGCGGGTTCCCCGCACCGGGCTGGGGGAGGGGAGGGAGGGTGGTGGTCCCGGCCGGCCTCCCTTGGGGCACTGTGGGCCCGGTGTTCCAGGGGAGTCTTGGGGAGCCGTGACTTCGACCCTGTCTGGATGGGAAGGAGCCGATCGTCCCGACCGCAGCCACGACCGCGTAGGCCTCAGCGCCGGAGTTGGGGCACCGTGGTCCCTGACAGTACAGAGACTGGCCCGGTTCTACCACACCCAACGCATCCTGCCCCTCAAACCGCAGGCCCGATTGTCCCCAGGCGGGGGCTCCACTCTGGGTTTGGGGTCACCCTGTTCCCTCTGGGGAGGGGGTGGAGCTTTGTTTCATTTTAATGACCTTTGAGCGTTGTAGGGAAACTGAGGCAGGGAAGAAGTCTTGACTGCCTAAACGGTCAACTCCCCCACTAAACTTGAAGTTGGCACCCTCTCTTCTGTGTGTGTGTGTGTCTGTGTGTGCGCGCGCGTGTGTACAGTTGCTCAGTCGTGTCCCACTCCTGGACCCCTGCTGCCCTGGGGCTGTGGTTTTCCCAGGTCCAGGGCGCGCCCGTTCTCCCAGGAGCTGGCACTTAAAGACTTGTCACCTCTGGCAGGGTCCTAATGACCCCCTCTGCCGCCAGTATTTGGGTTATGTCCAGAGGGAACTAGGTACCATGGTTTCCTTGGACTTGCAAGCCTCACGATTGCTCAGTAATGAATGAAAACATCACAGGAGACATAGGGAAGAGCACTGGCCAAGAGCGATGGCAATGGTGCCAGGCAGAGTGAGTCTGGGGACTCGTCCAAGGTCCAGGTGCTCTGGGCTGGGGTCTGATGGGGGGCGGGGCCGAGCGCCCCAAAGAGCTGGGCAAGGTCTGGTGTCTAGCTGGTGTTCACATCTATCTTTGCGCTAGGCAGGTAAAGCAGGCACCCAGCTCACCTGTGGACTGCAGTCACCTAGATGCCAAAGCCATGCCTATGGCCACCCTTGCTGCCAGGCCTAGCTGGGTTCCCAACTCCCGAGACTGCAAGGGCGCAGGGCAAGGCTGCTGTCCATCAGGTGTGTGCTCCACCCAAAGGAGAACCTGGGGCTAAGTCTCCCTCCAGAAAAACCCACCCTTATAGGCGCCCCTGGGCACAACCACGGAGCCTTCAATTCCCAGGTGGGGGAGTAAGTGTGTGAAGATGACTGCAATACTTGGGGGGGGGGGTCCCAAGATGTCACACATGGCAAGTGGGAAGTTTCCAGTATCGTCCAAGGCGTCGCGCCCAGTGTCCGCCTACCCCGCGTTCCACTCAGGCTCTCTCGTCTGCGGGGACCTCCCCTCCCCGGACTCCAGTTCCCTCCGGCACTCCTTTGTCTGGTGCGCCTGGGCTGCTGCTGCTCCGTAGACAGATGGGGAGGGGGCGGAGGCCGTTGGAACTCTGTCCCCTTCCCCCCCGCTGCCATCTTCCCCACTTTGCAAGGGCGCTGGATGCACAAGCCTTTGGTTGTGGGGGGAAGTGGGACTGGGCCTGGGTTCCCGGGGGCTCCCACCCTAGGCAGCCAGCCCCCCACCCGCAGGGCTGGCCGGCGGCGGAGGGGAAGGGGCGCTCTCAGCCGGCCTGGCGCGGGGTGGGGGAACAGCTTCCACATCCGCGGCTGTGTCACCCGGCGCGGGGCGCGGGAGGGGGGGGGCGGTCAAGGTGCGGCCGCAGGTGCGCAGGTGGGGGGCGGCGGCGCGCAGCGCGGCCATATTTGGCCATTTCTGCGCCGCCAGAGCCCCGCCCGCCGCCCGGGAAGCCGCAGCCCGGGCAGCCCCGTCCCCGCCCGCCGCGGGCCCTGAGTCACCGGCCGGGCGGGGGGCGGAAGTAACGGACTAGGGGCTCCGGGCGCGCTCCTCGCCTTATTTAGTCAAGGAGGCCGCGGATTGGCCGGCGAGACAAAGGGGCGGGGGCGGGCTGCCGGGGCGGGGGCGAGGCGGCCCAGGCGCCTTCGAGGGGACGGGGCGGGGAGGGGGACCCGCCGCCGCCGCAGCCGCTCCCACCCTGTCCACGGGTCCGCGAGACCCCGCCGCCCGCGTCACACCCGGCCGCGAGAGCGAAGGGTGGGGGTGTGCGTGTCCCCAGAGGTCAGGTGGCGCGGGCGGGGATGGGGGGGTGGGGAAAAGGAGCTGGAGGTTTGGCGAGGGTGTGGAGGGGGCGACCCCTCGCCTGTGAGCACCCCCCTAGAACCAGCAGTAAGTGGACGCTGCGGGTGCAGGGACCGAGCCCCAAAAAGAGAGAGACCTCCAAGCCAAGCCCTGCGCAGGGGGTTGGGAACGCCTTATTCTGTGCTGTGATTTTTCTGTTTTGCAACTGGCAGTGCGAGGCCTCGCCCAAGGTCATCTCAGGGCTGTGCTCATGGAAGCGCAAGGCCGCCCCCTCCTCCCTCAGGATGGAGAGGCCCAGGAATCCCTTGGGAGGGGACCACACGAATGTAGCAGCCCCTGGCTCGGGTGAGCAGGGAGGCCCTGGGAGGAGCGAGAGTCAGCAGCTGCACTTCTGCCCAGAAGCGGGTGTGTCCTTCCATCGTGAGGATGGAGGGGGGTCAGAGAAATGATGTGTTGTTTTTTTTTTTTTTAAATTCGGTGCTGGGTTTGGTGGATTTATCGTGTGCTTGCTGCATCTCGTTTCATCTTGCGGCCATTTAACGGCTGAGAAGACACTGGTGCAGGGAGGTGGCATCACCTTGCAAGGAAGTGTGGCCTGACTTAGCCCCAGGCCTCCCCAGCCCTGGGGTACTGCCAGGCAACCCCAGCTCAGGGTCCTTCTTTCCCTTCCCTCTGACAGCCACACCAGCCTGTCAGTCTCCCTGGTCCAGCCTCCAGGGATCCTTCGCAGGATGAAGGTCACCTCTGCACCTGGTAGCTGACCTGCAGCCCATCACCCCACCCCTGCCTCCTGCCTCTCACCATCTCCCACTAGCCAGTTACTTGCCAGGCAGTGTAGGGACTTGGTAATGAGTCCCCCTTTATGCCTTTGCCTTTGCCACTCCACCTGCCAGGAATGCCTTTCTTTCCCCTCCCCCCAAATGCAACGTGGGATTCTGAGTTGGATCCTCGAACAGGGAAAAAAAAAAGACAGTAGTGGAAGAACTGATGAAATCTGAGCAAAGTCTGAAGTTTAATGAATTAACTACCAGTCAATCTCTCAGGACGACAGTTGTACCATGACTTGTGTAAGATGTTAACGTTAGGGGAAACCAGGTGGAAAGTCTGCAGCAATGCTAATACTGACTTTCTGGCGTTTGTGGCAGTATAAAATTATCTCATAATAAGAACTTCATTTTTAAAATACCAAGGAGGACTTCCCTGGCCGTCCAGTGGTTAAGACTCTGTGCTTCCACTGAAGGGGGCACAAGTTCAATCCCTGGACAGGACATGTAGGGAAGTTCTGCGTGTCAGTGTGGCAAAAAAAAAAAAAAAAATCCAACGAAAACCACAAAGTTTCCCTACCCTCAGCTCACTGTCCTATTCTCCTAGGCTTGTGGGTCAAATGCAAGATGAGTGTTCTATCACATAAAGCCTTCTCCAGAGTGCTGGGCTGGCTCCCATGGCAACAGGCATAGCCCCTGGAGTGGTTCTGTCTGTTTGTAACAAGGGTCCCCAGACTGCCCTGGTAAGCAAAGTCAGGTTCCTGCTGGCTTGGCCCGCCTACCTCTGAGTTTCAGATCAATGAACAGAGTCAGGCCAGATACTTCTGTTTCTGGTCTAGGTGTCTAGAGGGGTTTGTTCTCCTGCCAGCAGTTTACAGACAGGCACCCCAGGAGCCCGGGGCTCCAGCCCCAAGCCCTGTGGAGCCTCCATTGTGGAGCCTCCATGGTGGCCAAATGCTTGAGCACTCAGGCACTGGTGAGTTGTCAGGTGCTGTATGCTCAGCCCTGCCATTTGTCCTGTGCCAGGATGCACTGGGCCAGGCCTCTTCATGTGTCATCCAGTCGTTGCTACATGAGGTAGGTAAACTGAGGGTCACAGGGTGTCCCCTCCCATGAAGTTGGGGGGTCAGGTACACAGAGACACCTAGGCCAGGGCTTCACTGCTCTGGCAGTGGAGAGCTACCGGTATCTTACAGACAGGCCCCACTGGAGTTTCTGGGAGGTTCCCATCTCACTATGATGCAATGGGAACTGAGAAGGCCCTTGGAAGAGTACTGGGCTGAGAGTCAGGACCTGAGTTCTGGGTCTTAATTGCTGTAAAGAAGATGGGCCAGTGATGTGAGCGATGTGTGACCTGCCAGAGGCTCTGAGCCTAGTGGCCCTCCTGCACTGTACATAGGTCTGAGGACAGGATGCCCCTGGATGGCCCAGTGAACTTTCCTCAAGCCTCACCACTGAGGTTTTCCAGACCTCTGGCCTCGATGTCCCCAGGCATTCAGTTTTCTTTGATGAGTAAGATGTACTCACTCAGTACTTCCATGTGTCAGAGCTGAGATTTCCCAGAGCAGCGGTCTGTGCACTCTGCTGCCCAACTATGCACCCCCAGGCCTCACTCCCCTGGGCCTCTAGGGCCATGACAGTGCTCTCTACACCACTGAGCAGCCTGCTGGCCCGGCACAGAGGTCCAGAAGTGGTCATCATCTGCTCTTCACCTTTGCTTGCACACACGCCAAGAGCACACTTTGCCCACCTGTGTGAAACCTGCCCCCTGTGGTTAGGGCACAGTTCTTACACTTTGTGAGCTGTGTCCACAGATTGCAAAAAGGAGCCAAGGATTATACCCAGAATTCTGAGCTTCCAGCTGCTTCATGATAGCCCTAGCTCAGCATGTGGCTAAAGACAAACCAGGGTGCCCACCAGACCATAGCAGTCTGCACATCCCGGTCCTGCATCTGTCCAGTCCGGCTGCCAGCCTTCTGCTTCCCTCCAGTTAATGCTACAAATCCCATCACCCTGCCCCCCGTGCCACTGACTGCCTTGAGATCAAAATTCAGCCCCTTATCCTGTTGCTGGGGGCTCTCATGGCAAGCTCTGATTAACCCCTCCACCCCCTCACCTCACACACCTCTCACTTACAGCCCTCCAGCCCAGGACCAGCATCTGCCCAGAAATATTTTCGCATTGGCTGCTGCCTCCCTGCAGGCCTCCAGGTCATCCCTAGCATTGGTACAAGTCCCTACCTCCCACCTGAATGCTTGTTATTCAGTTTGTCCCCGCCCTTGGCCCCAGAGTGTGGTTCTCCTGAGGCAAGGAGCAGCCCGTGTCCCCTGGTTCCTATACATGGGAGGGAAGGAGGAATGGAGGGGGAGGGTTTCCAGCCAGCTCTGCCAGAGGGAAGGGCCGTCCCTGAGAGTCAGAAGGGGGACAGGGGTGCGGCTGTGCACAATATGGCTCTAGAGCTGAGAGGGAAAGGAGACTCACCCAAGGCCTGACTGCCCCCAGGAACCCTCTTCCAGCACCGCAGCTGGTAGGCGCATGGGGCTGCAGGCAACAAGGGTGGGGCCCACCTCCTGCACTTATCGCTTTGGCCCCAGGCTGCAGGGAGCTCGCCCAGCCAGCCGAATTCTCTTTAACTGAACTAGGTCAGGACTGTCGCGACAGGTGTCCCCACCCCCGGGACACCTGGCGCCACACGGAAGACAGGGAGGCGGATCAGGGCAAAACACAGGGAGAAGGCCGCTGCTCTGGTGCTGTCTGCTCCCCGCCACTGCTCCAAAGGCTGCAGCTGGGGTGCGCAGAGTGGCGCGGGGCGAGGTCAGGGCCGGGGTCGAGTCGGTTCCGGACGGGTCACCCGGGCCTTCGTCGCACCCTCCTTCCCGGGCTCGGACTTCCCAGGGAAGCCGCGCTCCGGGGGCGTGGCCTATAGAGTTCAGTCCCGCCCACTCCGGACTCTCGTTGGCCGGGCCCAGGGCCGCTTGTCCTAATTTGGTCCCGGAGCGGGTCCCAGGCCTCGAGTCCTAGCGTGCCCCACCTCCTGGAGCCTGACCCCAGCCCCAGCCCCGGCTTTCCCTGGGCCCTTTGGGGTCAGCGCCGGAGTCCCGGGAGAAGCTAGGTCCAACGGGCGGCGGAGAGAGTGCGGAAGAGGCTGCCGCCGAAGCAGCGCCAACTGGGACAGGAAGCCTGGGGCGCCCTGCCACCCGCGGCCATTCTGCGCCCCCTCTTGTTAGTGGGTTTCAGATCTGGGGCCTCCCTTTCACCGTTCAACCCGCATCTCCACAACGGGTTGCGGGCAGGGCACTGCACGCAGGGCCTTGCAGACTGGGGAGGTGTGCGCAGTGCCCGCACGCAACACGCACCTCTCTCCATCAGGCACTGGCTGGGTGCGGGTCATCCCCTGTTAGCGGCGAGTTCGGAGGCTTGGGCCAGGAGATGGCGCTCTGGCTGGTCGCGGCGGCCCGGAGCGTCCAGCTCTAAGGCGGGCCACTGTCATTCCCGGGTGGGCCGCCAGGTGGATCCCGCTATCGCGGCTAAAGTGCTCCGGGTCGGGCGAGGAGTCGGCGATTGGGGGCCGCACCTGTCAGCCCCACCCCAACTCTCCACCGGGCTGGGCCGGGCCTCCCGCACAACCCCGGCAGCCATTGACCCGGGCTGGGGAGGTCGCTGTCAGTGGCCGCTGAGTCACTGCCGCCCGAGGATGACAGGGAGCGGCTTGGGAGTGGCCGGTGACCTCAGTCGGTACTGACGCAGGGAGACAAGGTGGGATTGGGGTCAGCCTGCACCCAGGGCAACAGAAGAAGGGAGGGCCAGGGCCACCACTCAGGAGGCAGAGCCAGCCCACCC